AGTCCACAAGCGAACTATACCGACCAAGCGACCGCCGCTTGTCTGCGACGTTAGTACCAATTTTTGCTGATAGATGGTGTCGCATGGTCAGCGCAACGGATTCCGTTAATCTCGGTTTTCTAGACCGGAGTATTTGTCCTTAATTGCAGTTATTAGCAGAGTTATGTTAATTTTAAAGCTTAATTTGAGGACCAATAGCTTAATCTCGGCGTATATTTGTGTGTGCCGTCTGCCTGCGGGTGTCTGTCAATCGCTTGTCATGGTAGTTGTCACGTTTGCCACCAGTGTCAGCTCTGTGCTCCATGGTATGCCATTTCAAAGATGACGATATAACTTAGTTCACTGTTTTAGTGGAGAAATGAGGAGAGAGATAAAGAAGAAAAAATTGTATGAAGGATTAAGTTACCGCGTTCCGAAGGAAATGATTCCCCGTTGAATTTTGACGGATTTTTCCCATTATTTTAAAATAATGAAGAAGTTGATATGCATAATAAGGATCATGGGTTGGACATCTATATCGGAGCGATAGAACGAGACAGGCGTTCAGAACTTCGCCGAAAGAAAAAGAATAGATCGGAAACAGTCATTTTGAACTTAGAGAAATATGTGGTTGCATAATACCAAGGCGAACGTTAGATATGGATATGAATAGAATTTGAACTGCTTCATCACAGTATCTTGGTTTTCCTTTAGGATGTTCAGCCCTCAAGTTATGTTACCGCAGGATTAGTACTGTGGCTCATTGCTTACACATGTAAGTAATTAGATAATTATATACGTTAAATATTTGCTTAGCTGGCAATTTAGTTGGAATTGTGTTCGACCACTGGAAGTAAAGTTTTACACTTGTCTTTAATATAAAATTAACCCAGATGAAATTTGATTCCTAGAAAGCCAGTTTATCCCTTATTTATTAACCAGAATTTCGTTAGTATATTTTACTTAAAACATTCGAGGACGGCAGACAAGGGGTGGTGTTCTAGCTCGGGGGTTGGATATGGGGCTGACAACTTCTCGCCATAAAAATAAGCTTGTAACGAAATGTCACAAAGGTACTCGAACCAAGACGGATTCTTTGGATGAACGACTTCTCAGGATGGAGACCAGTGGAAGGGTCTTGTGAACCCGGCAATGTACCCTTGGGTTCCATAAATTGTTGGGAAGTTCTTGAGTAGCTGCACAATAGGCGGCGTCTCAATGAAGTTAAGTTATTTACTTAAAATCGACACTGTTCCAAATCTGCTAGTTTCCTTCTTCGTGGAGTTCTTGCCTTGAAATATAGCTCGTCTCAGTCATAAACTTGCTGACATCATAAATCACGTCTCGTCGTTAAAATTTCTCTGAAACGATCGAAATGCAGTTCGCCGTGCCACTGACAGCCGCCATTAAACGCCTGCAATAACACGTGACCCGAACTGCAGTGTATAACTTGCCTCGTGAACCATTTTAGCCACAGGATGTCCCAATTCATTATTTATTTTGGTTAGATAATTATTTGGAACAGAAATCATGGCTATGCTGGTTCGCGTGGGGTTATCTGCAAGATGTCTTTTAACCTTTTACGAATTTTTTTGTCTGTGCATGCTTTAGAAGCCGGAGAATTAGCCGAAAAGATGAGAAAGGAAAGGTCTAAGAAGGCTGTATTGCTATTTTTTTTATTGCTAGTGGTGTGGGAATATTTTGCCTGTGGTTCTATATGGGTGTGAAACTTGATCTCTGACATTAAGGGAGGAAAACAGACTGAGGGTGTTGAGGAGATTATTTGGACCAAAGAGAGATGAAATCACAGGATGTTTAAGAAAACTGCATAACGAGGAGCTTCATAACTTGTACTCTTCTCCAAGTATAATTAGAATGATCAAGTCAAGGAGGATGAGGTGGGCAGGTCATGTAGCACGAATGGGGGATACGAGGAATGCGTTTAGGATATTGGTGGGGAAGCCAGAAAGAAAGAGACCACAAGGAAGACCAAGGCGTAGGTGGGTGGATAATATTAGAATGGATCTTAGATAGAATGGGATGGTATGGATTGGATAAATCTGGCTCAGGATAGGGACCAGTGGAGGGCTCTTGTGAACACGGTGATGATCCTTCGGGTTCCATAAAATGCTGGGAAATTCTTGAATAGCTGAAGAATTGGCGGCTCCTCAAGAAGGGCTGAGCTCCATGAGTAAATAAGTAAGTAATTAAGTGGGGTGGGACTAAGTCCCTTGTACTGCGGCCACTTCTGGCCTATTGTACCAGCCCCAGATGATAGGTGAGGGTGATTGTGGAGCAGTTGGTGGCAGGGGAAACCGAAGTACTCGGAGAAAACCTGCCCCAGCGCCACTTTGTCCCCCACAAATCCCACTTGACCAGACCCGGAATCGAACCCGGGCCGCGGCGGTGGGAAACCAGCGACTAACCGCTTGAGCTATGGCGCGGCCCAGGCTATGTATTACTTAAGCTACAGAAGAAATTTCTGGGATGGGCCTTAGTCAGTAATATCTGTTCTGGTGTGACAATTATTTGCCACCTGCCACAGTAGGTCTTCTGAACCTGTGCACTATCGTACGGGTTATGTTTCCATCTGTAACGTGGCAGCACCGTAGTTCTGACCTGTTCCCCAGTCACATCTGGCTGTTGTGAATTTCATGTACAGACAACAGCAGGAGGAATATTCCCGCCATACTGTTTGCGGTTAACTTACAGGCATTTTCGAGAGAAATGATATTGTGGGATGGGAGAAAAAGAAGAAAAATTGTTTCTGTGTCGCAACAGAAAATTTTGGAACTTACCGTACTTTGATGTCATGATTTCCTGAATCGTTTGCATGTTTCGCTGGGGCGCAGCGGTCACATCTGTTCCCTGTCGCTTTTTTATATCGCTGCAATATTAACGGCGTCTGTTTAAATATGGTTCTTCTGTGCTTTCTTTAAACGCGCGAGTTATATGCGGCATTTTACCCGAGTTGCCATATGTGCGTGTATGTGTGTAAGAGATAAAAGTGTGTAAAAAAAAAGTAAAGGTATCCCTGTAACAGGTCCATAGGGTTGTGAGATGTTGAGGCTCCCACACTATCTAGACAATCGGCTCATAGATGGCGGCAAGGTTGTCAGCCCTACGCGCCGGCCGTCCTTTACCCCCAGGAATATTCCTGGTACTCATTTCTGTTAGAGGCTTAGTCAACCCCAGGGCCATATTGCTGCTAGAAGGATTAGGCAAATTAAAAAAATCCACCTCATCGGAATTCGATCCCGCGACCTTCCGGCTTGTAGAGTTGTGCCTCAACCAACTACGCTATCGCATGACCCCTTTGTGTAAGAGATATGATATATAATTGCTAAGATACTAATATGAAGTGGTTCAGAATTGGACTGCAGTTATTTTTATTGGTTTTGGATTCGTCTATAATTGTACAAAACGTGAAGTATCCCGCAACACGAAATTCAGTTTCCTTTAATTTCCTTCAAGTCCATGTTGAATGTAGCAGACTTTGGCTACGCTGTACAGTAATACCTTTTCTATGATATGACAGACTTCTTTGTACTACCGAGATATCTTCAACACAAATTCCTTATTGTGTTGCTCTGTTTAGGTTAAAGCAGTGGCGACCGTAATATGACATACAGGCTTTACGCTCTTCCCAAGATGCAAGGCGGTCCGACCCATGCGATATAAATATATTGCTAATATACGCCGTTAAACAAAATATCCTGCCACATACAGTATAAAATATGTATTATAATCAAAGGTGAAGCAATCTGTGTAACAGGCTGTTGAAGCCCATAGGACTGTGAGACGTCGAGGCTCCCACATTTTCTAGAAAATCGGCTACACATGGCTGCGAGTGTATTATAAAAAATTATTTTTTTTAATCAGTAAAATCCGAGACTTCGGCGAAACAGAGATTATGGTTGCTGAGTTCATTTTGTAACACCTTGACAGCGGCGAAGTTTAGGATGTACATATATGGCGTTCGTATTAATGATTAATATTGTTTGTGGTCTAGTGGTCAGAGTTCCTGGCTGCAGATCCAGAGGTCTTGGGTTTGATTCCCGGCGCTACCAGATTTTTTGAGAAGTAGTGGGTCTGGAACGGAGTCCACTCAGCTCCGTGAGGATAATTGAGGAGCTATTTCAAGGAAATAGCTGCTCCGGCCTAGAAACTGCCGTGGGGATCCGTTGCGCTGACCATGCGACACCCTGTATGCGCTAGAGTTTGCACTAACTTCGCCGGCAAGCGGCCGTCTCTCGGTCGGTATAGTTCGCTTACGGACTGCAGACCACGGAGTTTGTTTTTCGTCTTGTTTGTTTATTCTTTACGTCTGTATTCACTGGAATACACTGTATTTCACTGGAAATAATTGATAGTGTCATATATATTAGTGACTTTAAGACGGGGTTTGGATTGGTGAATCGATTTATTGGATACTCACAAGTCGTAACTACAAGTAATTATAACACTCTTGAGTATTACTGTGACTATAACACACAAAATGAATTCTTCGACATCTGCTTACTAGTCGTTACTTGGTAATACTTCAACTATTGAATCATCCATCCTCAGTCCTCTGGAACTCGCTGTAATTCAGCTTTTGGAGGTCTGAACGCCGGACTTAACTAACTTCATGCGGACCGAATATAGAACACCTCCTCCAAGGGTTGCATTCTGCTGTTCACATATGCCTTGTCCCGTACACGCCTGTAATACCTTGGCAGTCAAACCCACTGCCCAGCAACGGACGTGTAGTCTCGTTGACGGCCGTTTTCTAGCAACAGACGTCTCTGTTATGCTTCTCTGACTGCACATTTCCGGCATTCAGGCGTAATGTCACAGTAGCTACATAACAGTGTTTATCTTGAGACTCAGTATCTCACTAGTGGTTTGAAATAAGGGCGTCTGGACCGGAAGCAGTATGTTGAAGCTATGTGCAGGGAGAGCCGTCATGACTGACCCTGAGTGGATTTGTGCTACTGAATACGAGTTACGTGGCTGATCGTCTGTAATTGTTGTTGCAGATGGTAACCCGGACGAAGAAGATATTTGTGGGTGGGCTCTCGGCACCGACGACGCTAGAAGACGTCAAGAATTACTTCGAGCAGTTCGGGCCGGTGAGTACTCAGATCATTTTCTTCCTCATTTGCCTTCCTTTCTTTGTCCTCTTTTCACTCATCAATTATTACGTATACAAAAACTAACTCCGTGGCTTTAGTCCGACCGAGCGGCCGCCGCTTGTCGGCGAAGTTAGTAGCAACTTTAGCGGATAGAGGGTGTCGCGTGATCAGCGCAACGAATCCCCACGGCCATTAATTTCGGTTTTTCTAGACTGGAACCGCTATTTCCTTGAAATAGCTCCTCGATTATCCTCACGAGGCTGAGTGTACCCCGTTCCAGACCCACTACTTCTCAGAAAATCTGGCAGTGTCGGGAATCGAGCCCGGGACCTGTGGATATGTAGCCAGGAACTCTGACTGCAAGACCACAGAGCCGGTCCTAATTATTACTTATATATATATTTTTTTGGTTTATTCTTTTCGGTCTTTGTGCCACATGAAACCCAGCTACGGGATGAGTCATGGTACGTTGTAGCTTTAGGCAAACTTACGGACGCGAAGTCCCGTGCGTTTGAATTTCCCACCTGCCTCTGAATACCGGTAGTATCTTGAAAACAGAATCTAATAAGTTTCTAATGTTAACGTAACGGTCTACGTTACTAACTGATGATGTCACATCTCCGTTCCCATGGTACAGAGTGATTCTAAATTATTGCTGGGGTTTCCGTGGCCTGTAATTTTCAAACCTTAAGTGCCACGAAAGGCGCGCATGTTGAAGTTGTTTAGCATTCTGCAATATTGATTTTATAGATAACAAACATTTTAGTAACACTTTCATATTACGTGAGCAGTTTTATTTTATTTGTTCCTGTTTGAAAATTATAGGCCACGGAAACCCTGACAGTAATTTAGAATCATCCTATAGATCTATATCAATATATAGAAAACGTATCTTATTTTACTGTCTCAGGAAACGTGTTTTCAGAATGGAGGGGTGTTATTGATATCAAGTTACAACATAAGTAAAGAAAGTAATTAATTGAACTAGATTTTGGAACACGTACGTCACTTGATATAAAAAGTACCGGGTTTTATTGCAGTGAATTGTATATTTTGTACAAAAAGTTTCCCTGGAATTAGGGGTAAAACAAATGTATTTTAATACCACTGATAATCTGTCTATTCCTGTTGATCCCACTGGGCACTTCGTTTCACTTAAGATTCTTAATCTTAGACAATCGCGAGGAATCTTTGAACGGAGGATAAGCCCGACACAAGGCCACTACCACTACCTACACAGGACAACACGAACAGAATAAACGAAGAAAAACATCAATTCCTTGAGTGGGATTCGAACCGACGATCCCAGTGTTTTAGCGGGCGAAGACATTTCATGCGTAAGACCACGCGGCCCTGTGATCGGCACCACTATGAAGTAAAGTTGTTTCTATGCTTAACTAATTAAGCACTACGCACTGAAGGCTTATGGGGAGTGAATATATAGATCCAACCACTAATAGTAGCCTTCATGAAATTAGACCACCAAAGAAATTCTTGTCAGAGAAAGATACAATTAAGAACAGAAGGAACGGAAAGAGAGCAATTTCACTGTCGGCGTTCTGTTACCGACGAAAGGAACGACTAGACTTGGGACAATGGAAATAAAAACGGACGTAAGAAAGACAAGTGTGGATTCATACCTACCCTCATGATAAGACAGTGAAACATCAACATAATCGTGGAACCCTTACCAAATTCTTCTTCTGGGAACAGAGATCGCTTCAATGGGAAATGCCTGCAGTGAAGAATTACACTGTAGAGTCTACAGTGTAGACCTAGATGCGAAGGAAGAAAATGTGTAATTTAGAAAGAACAAACATTCACAGATCTCATTGTTAAGATGGTTGTCTTCTGGCATGTGCCGCTATGCAGTTTAGTAGAGGCAACAGATGCCTCTTAAACTGTGGTACCTGTCTAGCAGATTATCATACCACACACAACAGTAAGCCTCAACACCTTGTTTTGTTGGCATGTTTTCATAACAAGCAGTTTCAGTTGTTTAATCTCACAAACAACTCGCTTCAACAATTCAGAGACGGTTGGGGATTTTCCTTTGGCTTTCTAATCCAGATTAGAAGCGTCAATGTTGTTTATGTACCTGTCGATCCTCCTAGCATAGTTTACAACTTGCATCCTGTTGTGCGTGACAGAATTCCTATTGTTCTTTGTTAACTACTACATAACGCTCATAAATGGTGTATCAATTATAAACAACCAAGTCTTCTTATTTCTTAAAATCAAATGTTTGGATCAAACATTGATCATTGTCAGGTGAAAACTTACAAATAAAAATAATTACAGTATAGAATTAATCAGTATGTATTTATTTACATTAGTATATGTTCACCTGATGATTAATATTCTATAGAACCGTTTGGTTTTAAAAATAAAAACAGTTGTTGGGTTTATAGTGTTCGTTTGGAAGATGGCTGCCCGTGAGAAATTGGAGAGTTTGTGACTGAAAAGGTCATGTAAGTGTTTTTGTCCCTGATTCTGTATAATAGAAACGAGAGATAATCTGCGCAGATACTTTGCGCATTCTTTCTCATGTGTGAATTGCATATCTCAGCCTTATTATTTATGTCCATTTCCCATGTACATGATTAAAACGTAATCAGAATCGGTTAAGTTCTTTTCGAGAAAGAGACTTTTCGGTATTGGCCCTGTAGAAGGCATACTCTTAATTTTCCGGAATACACAACCTTTAAGGCTATATTTAAGGAAATGATCTCCATAAATTAAAGAAAATTCTTAAAAATCATTTAAAAAATAACAGTTTCGTGTTTCTGGACCCATATGAAGTGTCCCTATTTTTGGAGCTGGAATATTCGCCTTCATTGGGCTCTGACGACTGATGGATACGCGCATGCGCTAAAATACCGAATATGAATAAACCGCCTGACTCTGCGGTCTCCAACGAAGCGCACACACGTAAGACGGACAGACGATATCCCAGAAACAACTTTTCAGTATCAGGGGCGCTGAAATCGCGTAAATATGCCGGAATCTCCCGATAGACCTTTTGTCTCGGTCACAGGACTTTCTCATGCTACATATCCCTGACTCTACAGTCAGTCCTTTTGCTGGACGTTGGCTACTCTCTCAGTTTCTTAATCCTGTACACAGACGGTAGGACTCCTCATACGGGGGATAAGCCTGTCGCAAGGCCACTACCTAAGGCCGCACCATAGCTCAAGATGTTAGTTGCTAGCTTCCCACCGCGGCGGTCCGGGTTCGATTTGTGGTGGACAAAGTGACGCTGGGGCAGGTTTTCTCTGAGTACTTCGGTTTCTCCTGCCAATCTCCATCCCACCAAATTCTCCAGCATCATAATCACCCGGGGCAGGCTACAATAGGCCAATCAGTGGCCTCCGTGCCGAGTGGACCCACTTGGACTCCTCCCCTCACTTAGCGAATTAAAAATTAAAATTAAAAAGGCCAGTACCTACACACACAATAAACTCGCACAAACATCCATTCGATTCGAACCCACGATCCCAGTGTTCGAGCGAGCGAAGACTCTTCATGCCTGAGACCGCGCGGCCACTGTAATCGGCATGCTACATACACGTATATGGGAAAGTAAAAACCACATGGAACAGTGTAGGCATGTTTCGACCACGGAATCTGCTGCCTACAAATCGGGTGAGGAAGGATGTTGATTACTTGCAACATTCGAATAAATCCGTAGATTTACATAACGGCACTGTCAATAGCTGTGATTATAAAGGCAAAGTTGTCCCTATGCTTAACCAGTTAAGGGGAGGGGATGTATTGATCCACATTTTCTTGAATTCAGCACTAGTTGCAGGTGAGTAGTTAGCTTCACGCCACTGCCGCTTTACCCACGGGGAAGGAGTCCTCGTACCCACTGGAGAATAGACAATTCTTGACACTGCCAGGACTCGAACTCCGACCCCCCGGCCATCCAGCCCGTAGACAGTCCTGTACTGACTGAGCTATCCCGGCTCCCAACTCAGATTATTCGATGTCGAATTTGGGGTAATTAGTGAATAATGAATTGGGAAATAGAGGAAAGGAAGCGATTGAGGCCTAATTTGAAGGTGTCTCCCGGAACTGAAGAAAATCACACAGTCCTTAGCCAAGTTAGTCGATGTCCCTACCGAGATAAAGTCACAAGCGCTACCGCTTGGGTTAACCTGCTCAGTTAATAAATGGATGAAGTTTGGGGAAAGAGAGCGGAATGATGGATTTATTATGGCGTAGGAGGAGGAAGGAAAATAGAAGGATCCTAAAAGCAAGAAAATCTAAAATTGTCATCCATCAATGCTATAAATCTTGCCTTGCAAGTTACCTTAAGTATTAACGTCGCACATAAAGCAGCCGGTAATGTAGCCTGGTTTACATGTAGCTGACGGAGTAGAGACCAATATTTTGGAAGTGACTGGTAATGAACGTGGAAGGGTACATAATTTCCTGCCCCCCGACATCTTCGTGTATGTGCTTTTTAATGTTCTAGTAACTACCTGCTAAGCTAACACATTGCGTTTTATTACTGCCGTTTAACAGCCATGAAATTCCGTCCCAGTTAATTATACATAAGCTATGTAGCCCTGCTGATTTTATATTATGTCGCGGTAATAAAATTTATTTCTCAGATGAATACTCTGTCTTTATGTTCGTATGCGTAACTGCATAAAATGAACGTATAATAAGGAGGTTGCGTATGTCCGAATTTATTTAGCAGGTATCGATAATATTTGGTATTGAACTATATTTATATTAAAGGGGCACGCGGTAGCGTACTTGGTTGAGGCACTGTGCTACAAGCCGGAAGGTTGCGGGTTCGATTCCCGATGAGGTGGAATTTTACAATTTACCTTATCCTTCCAGTCGCGTTATGGCCCTGGGGTCGACTCACCCTCCAACAGAAATGAGTACCAGGAATATTCTTGGGAGTAAAGGGCAGCCGGCGCTTAAAGCTGACAACCTTACCGCCATCTAGTGCCGTGGTTAAGAATGAGTGGAGCTGTACA